GTGATTTCTTAGTGATTTTTTCGCGATTTTTTCGCCTTTTTCGCTTTTGAAGGTACGGGGAATCTCGTCCACGTAGACGGATAACTCGTCCACTGCCCCAAACGGGTTGGCATCGCGCCAACTCCAGGCACCATGACACGCACCACTAGAAGCTATTAGAGTTAAAAATCTCAGGCGACGCTAGTTAGCGCGTCTGAAACGGGAAAAATCAACTATCGGGAACTTTCAAGTTGTGAATGTATTCTGCCAAAGAGGTTGGTAGATGAAGACTTCATTGAAATTGGCCTGACGTTTCGAGAGAAGATAGAAACTATCAGGAAAATTTTTTCCTGCCAAAGTACAACCCCACTCTCCTGCAGCGTTCATATGCAACCTCCGCCCTCCGTTTAGGTCCGTCCCAACGAACGATGTGCTGACCGAAATGCTGGAGACACAACATCACAATAGGAATTTAGGAACCTCATCGAGACACTTGACTTGAGTAAACTGTGTTTCATTTCTATCCCCCTTGACTTTTACGGTCTCACCTTGATCGTTAACGTCAAAGGAAGTGACCCATCAGCGTTGAGCCTTTTCTTTTCGCTCATCTTTTGATAGCACCCTAGTTTAACAGGTGCGTTTAGCCTAAATCATCACTTTTCTGCGCATCTCCTATTTGATTTCTTCTTTTATTGATTTGTCGTGGGCAAGGACAATTTCCTCGAATTTAGAGTACGGAGTGTACGCCACCAACGCTCCGTATTGTAAATTCTCACAAGACTGCCGAGGAGTATGATGGCATCCCTCAAACAAACGGAGTCTGAGCGATGTCAGTTTTGGGACCTCATTCCAATCCCAGTTTTAGGTGCCCTATTAACTCCAACACGCCCTCATCCGCACAGCTGATCCCCGATAAGAACTCTACGACCGTACAAGTGACGATTTTCATGCTTTTTCGTCCTGCAGCTTCGTTTTTCACTGAAAGGTGGGCCTTGAAGGCGGAGTCTGGAGGCGGAGTCACTGGAAAAAAGGAGGCGTCACTGAACCTATATTGCGCTATAGCGCCCCTCCCTTACAATTTTTTGCCGCGAAACCGGTACAAGGTTGTTCGTCGCGGACCACACTACCCTCCCGATGCCATATCTTGTATACCTGATCGCTTACTGTGCCTTTAAAGTTTCTGTTCCGTGGAAAAAAACCCGAAGTGTCATCATTCATGAAAAAGTGGAAACGACCACAAAACAAGACTAACACACCTCGTGGCGCTCAGATAAGCACAATGTTATTCTTCGTTTGCTTATTTGGCAACAATAAGGAGTACTGGTGGCCCGGTTGCCCTTCCAGGTTGTTTGTTTAGAGATAGAAAGGTCTTTTTATCAGGACCAGAACTTGGAACTCCCAAAGAAATCTGGAGGACTTGAACTGCCCCTAGCCTTCTACTGGATAGGACATCTTGAAACCCGAGAAGAAAGTTGAGAAGAGAATCAAAATTAAGGTCAATTACCTGGTACCGCTTCGCTCCGCAGTTGCCAAGAGCTCGACAGGCGACGAATATCACAGAGAACAGGAATGTTCCCAACGATATTATGGCGAACACTATTAGTACTGCACATAGAAGAGGCTGGCTGAGCAGATGTTCTTGCACAATTTCACCATCCAAAAACGATTGCTGAAACATTGTCGTCAGTATTTTGACTCCGCGCTCTCATCACTCTTATCAAGGCAAAAAGGAAACAAATTCATTGATGTTTTGAAGAGTTATTGATTACCGGAGAGTGATACCCGCGGTGGGTCAAAGGTAAACATTGGAACAGCATAAACAGTAGAATGGGAATCTTTTCACTAAGCCTCTAACCAAGATCGTGGGCAAGACATAATAGTGGAAAATGTAAAATTAATGAAAATTTGGCCGAAAGCGCAGCCGCTACTATGTTCAAGTGAAGTATGCAACCACGCCCTATCCATCTCTGGGATATGGAGCGTGTTATCAAGGAATGATGAATGGCTTCACCATCTCCGGACGGCTGCGGCTGT